CAAAATTAAGAGCCATGCAGCAACAGTGAACAGCCACAATTGTGCCAGGGGAGGTTTAGATTGGATATTAGGAAAAATTTCTTCATAGAAAGGGCTGTCAAGCCTTGGAACAGGCTGCCCAGGGAAGTGGTTGGGTCACCATCCCTGGAGGTACTTAAAAAACAGGTAGATGTGGCATTAGGGACATGGCTTAGTGGTAGACTCAGCAGTGCTGGCTTAACAGTTGGACTTGATGACCTTAAAGGTCTTTTTCAATCTAAACGACTGATTCTATGGTTCTAATTACCCTACTTGACAATAAGCAGCATTTTCCAGCCTTTTTTAAATGAACAAATTTAACTGCTGCTCTTTAAGTATTTATTTAAGTATTAAAAGCAACAATGCACAACACTAAGAATCAGAGGCCCCATTAAACAACATCCCAGGAAACAACATCCATCACTTGCTTCTGATGGGCTGGGACTACCTCAACTTCGTTAAAAGGACTTTCCAGAAGCAGAAAGGTTTACATCAATACCGCTGCAAAGATCAAACTACAATACCCTCAGATCAGCAATAATGCTAGAAAACAAGGTCCGAGAGAGATGTTTTCAAGCGATCCCTCAGACAAACGCAGGAAAACAAGAGCAGTAATCAAATTCCTGTGCTGCAGTACAGCAGCCCTCAGAATGAAAACTGTTCCAAATTAACTCAGTTACGCTTTACTGCCTTGCTCTTACTTTCTTCTGCTATTCCTGATCAAGCTGGGAAGTCTCTCTGCCTCTCAGATCTGACTTCCAAGGAGTAGATCCACCGCCTGAAGGATTTTTACCGTTATCCAACAAGATTTTCCCATTTGAAGAATTTCTAAACCAAGTGCTGTGTATAATGATCCTACCAGAGACAGCAAATGCACCTCGGCACTTGGGTTATTTACCAATAATTTTGTGTGGTCTGTGCCACACAAACCCATCTTTTCACTACTGGATCCCTGTATCGTGCTCTTTTACATCTTACCAGGGCTCCCTCAAACCCCATAGAATTATGGCAGATGGTTCACATGTGCAGCCATCACTCTGTGTGGCCAACCAGGCGAGCCACAACAACCAGGTCCTGGCTGGGATGATTCCAGAGTTGTTTGGACAGCTTGGTTAATACATGAGCCAGCTCTTTATCCCTCAGAAATAAAGCCTTCCCCAAAGCTGGTCAACCGGATCCCAAAGTACCTTCCTGGCTAGTAAGTATCCCCAGGCTCCTTTAGTCAGCACGCTGCTGGGACATCACTGGAGAGGTCCCGGGTCAGCCGCCACCTGTTGCAGCTGCACTACCACGTTCTGCAGCAATGCCAGAACACTCCACTGCTGATGTATTTGTAGGCATTTCCTAACCTCCACCTGCAAATATGACTGACAAAAACTGCCTGCTAAAGCTGGCCATCCCTAACTCACCCTTTCTAAGCTGTGTCCATTGAATTTATGAACTTACTTCTGAGGGAGTTTATTTTTTGTACCTCCAGTATGACTGACCTTTCTAACCACACCTGTAGACATTTGCTCTGCAACTTCACTTGTACATCTTAGAATCGCAGAATCATTTAGGCTGGAAAAGATCTCTGAGATCATCTCCCTCCAATAAGGAGCCTACTAAAAAACTGGTTTTGAACAGTTTTCCAGCAAAAGTGTCATTGATTTTTAGTTTTCTTTCCAGGTCATTTGCAGTACACAAATGCCACAGACTTACAATTTGGGGGACAGAGTAAATTTGTATTCCCCGTCACCTAAGCAAGGCCAGTCAAGGGTGGAAAATATTCCTTGATTCAGGGAGATAGGTGCCACGGTGCTGTGAGCTGTGCCTACTCTGAATTCCCAACTTCTGCCTAGCCAGCTTTAGGTGGGAAACACTCCAACACAGCAACTGTGATAATCTCTCTCTCAAACACAAGGGCTTGCTCCTGATTAACTCAGCTCCAGCTAATGTTAATGAACCGTATCCTGACCAGCTCCTGTAATTTAAAGAAAACACTGCTTAAAGAGCACTTCCTTTACACCTGTAATGTTCCACTGTAATCCACACTGGTCAGTCCACTCCCCAAGCCCCTTAAAGGAAGGCCTGTCACAGACACACAAACAGTGGAAGCCTCAGGACCAGATGAATCCAAGAATCCCTGCCAGGTAAAAAAAAGCTCCCCTCTTTTAATTCAAGATGTGTCACAGATAAAAACAGCAACCATTTTGGTATGCCTGAAGTTTCCAATTATTTTGGTGAAGGAGCCTTACCTGTGTCCAGAACTCCCATGGAGCCTCCAATAACTGACATCAAGACAGTTAACAGCAGGGAGTCCTTACACCAGGGTATCCCACAAAGACCAACTGTTGTTGCAACCATGGATAATGCTGGAAAGGTTAAAAAACAAAACAAAACCCTCACATATCACAGTTTCCATTTCAACTACACAGAAGACCAAGAAATAAAAATGCATGCATAGTTATCAAAGTTACAGATAATCCTAAAAAGTGATGCAACCCAAATACCTCAGTCTGTGGTTAGCAGTAACAAATAGAAAGTTCAACAGATCATTTTTCATTTGGAAAAAAAAAAGAATTTTATCAGGATATAAACACTGAGTGACAAACCTGCTAAAGCAAAGGGAGTATAGCAGCTACTGGTAGGACACTAAGAAGCCTTCTGCAAACTTCTGATCTAGAAATGTTACTTCACCATGAAACCAGTATCAAGTTTGCCCTCTGAGAACTGCATAGCATTTAATTTGGCTACGTTTTAAAAGAACACAAATCACTAAACTCTTAAAATCCTTTAAAGTAATTGCACCTTGGCCACCAAGAGACCTCTGTATAATGCTGACTTTAATTTATATTCTGTTCCCACAGGAGGAATATATTCCAAGGGATTCCTGGAGTTTTAAAGAGACAGAGCTACAAAATTTCTCATCATAAATTTAGCAGCAATTCACTAATTGTGTTAGTTTTGCCATTACTGACTACACTTAGAACATGCCTTTCCAAAAAAATATTTGTTAGCAGTTAAAATTACTTTTATTACCATTTGGGAGGAAATTCAGCAGGCAAATTCTGTGCTTATAATTACCTTCATAATGAAATAATCTGCAATTAATATCTTGAATATATAGTATTATGTTTTTAGAAGGCTTATACCAGTTCAGATATCTCTCTCATTTTTCAAATCAATGTCTGATCATAGATGCAGCAGGATATTAAAAAGATCAATGGGGACTGATGTAATTAAGAACTTAGGTTAATTCCAAACAAAAACAACAACAGTGGAAAAAATAAATACCCAGAACGCTAAAGTCCTAGCAAGATACTTGGAATATATGCCTCCAAACATTTTTGAAAGCATGCATGTTGAGCTGCCAGAAGAAAATGCTAGAGATGGGGTGAATTAAGGACAGCTTCTCAGGTGCCCCACTCAGAGCTGTAAAGTAACTTCTCAGCAGGTGCTCAGTTGCCCACTTCAGCTTCACACCTGAAAACTGGCACTTAAAAGCATCCCTGACAAAGATAGATTATGTCTTCAATTTTTTCTCAGTACAGTAGCAGGGTTTCAGCAGTTGAAAGATAGGAGGTAAAACTACACCAGCCAAAATCTCTTACAGGCAGCCCTCAGATGACAAAAATTGAGAAGAGGGTCAGTTGCTCAAACTGTTGTCTTGCCATAGCACTACCAAATTGGAAAGGATTAGATCAGTCATTTTCCAAGCATTGTTGACAGAAAGCTATCCTGCATGATGCCTCAGAAAAAGAAGTAAATACTAAACTATTTCAAGTTAGCATGCACTTCTGCAGGTGTATTGAATCCATTATGGAAGATAAAGTCTTAAATGTGAGACACAGACAACTTTGACCTTGTCAGATGCACAGGGAGGAGGCCAAAGGAAATCCACTTTGCAGGCATTCTGGAGAAGACTCTTAAGCATTTTAGAACAAGAGCAAATAAGAAGTGATCCATGGAAATGGAGACAAGAGGGGAGAATGACATTATATGATATGACTGCTCCTTACAGGAGACAGGCACACGGGGATACAATAAGACTTTGTTCAAACACTTAGCAATGGAAAAAGGGATCTTCTCATATTCTCTGAATTGATCCTGTGGTTAGAGCATGGCCCTCAAGAAAAGCACAACTCTGTTTGAATTTCCCTGAATAAAGAAGAAAAGAGCGAGCCCTGGTATATGATTTGATCCCTAACTTACAGCATCAAGGCACACACTGACATTACTGGACTCGAAAGAAAAAAAGGCAGAGCTTCCACTATTTTAAGTGTACTCTGAGAATCTCCACTGGAATGTGACACTAAAACAACTCTAAAGGGAGCCCCTCATTTCTGGGTGCTGAGTGTGGCTCTTGGCACCCTGACGGCTGAGCAGCCCTGCTCTGCCAGGACAAGGCCAGTCCTGTGCTCCTATAGAAGCAAGTTTCCACGTGTCCAGAAAACTGTTAAGACCATCAGCTGTAGTTCCTACAGTTAAAATGTTTCCACCATCACAGACAGTATTTAATATTCTCCATTTTAAATAAGTTCCAATTTGGCTAAGGCCCTTCAGTAAAAATCTCCGGACTTTTGTCCACATGAAGATGATCATGTCTGATGAGTGTTAAGTAAGGGAACGGTTTTAGATAACTCTCCCCACAAAAGTGTGCCTCAGCGTGACTGCTGGAGGTTTCTGGGGTGTGCATGACAGCCAAAACACAGCTTCCCGTTCTGCCTGTGTGTTTCGTGGAGTGGCACTATAGAAGCCTGTATGTTCCAACGGGATCTGTGCCAGGCACATTACATAATACAAACTAGGAGAAGTCCGACATACTTTTCCAGTCCAAACAGATCTTGTCAGTTCAATTCCAGTTACCACTGCTGATGTACCCAGCGGGCTCAGCCTGTTGGCAGTGACGCTGTAATGCCTGAGCACAGGCAGTGTCAGGAACCCAGCAGGGCAGAATACGGCGACAGCGAGCAGCAGCATAACTGTCCGGGATTTACTGGGAGCTGCAGCACCAAGTGCCACGGGGATTTATGGGGAGCTGCAGCACCACGTGCCTCGGGCGCCCCTCCCCACGGCTCGGCACCGCTACGGAAAGGCCACACCTCTCCCCGTCGGGCTGCGCACGCTGAGGAGAGGTCCAAGTTGCCCTGAACTGTGTCGAAAAATGCCGATTTCCCCCGCGGCCTTGGGGCTGACGGGGCAGCACTCACCGAGCAGGAGACTGGCGTTCATGCAGTCGAAGAGCACCCCGCCGATCACCGACCCGCCCAGGTAGCCGAGGGACCGGCCCACGAAGATATAGTAGATGTCGCTGACGTTCTTGCCGACGTTGGCGGCCAGGTTGGGGAAGGTGGGACCCAGCACCGCGATGCTCATCCCCTGCAGGGCAGATGCGGGGTCACCTCGCCCGACCCTTCCCCCGGCCGGGCCGGGAAGGGGCCGCATGGCCCCCCGCTCTCCCCCTTCCCGGGAACGGACTCACTCACCAGCCCCAGGAACGCCGCGCACAGCGCCCCGGTGATGCACCAGCGGAGGGCGGCTCCGGCCCCGCCACAGCGCCCGCCGCCCGTCGGCCTCGCCGCCGCCGCCTCCTCTTCCTCCTCCGCTGGCTCCTCCGGGCCCACAAACCGGACGTACATCTCCCTCCCGGCATCGGCCATGGCTCCCTGCGCCGGCTCCGAGGGCCCCTCCGGGCCCGAGGAGGGCGGCTCCACCCCACGCACGGCGGCAGGAGGAGCTGCCGGAGCGCCCGACTCCGCAGGGCATGGGGATGGCTGCGCCTCTGCCGCCGCAGCTGCCTCCTCCTCGGAACGCTGATCTGCCTCCAGGACCGGCATTCCCAGGGCAGTTCACACTCTACTCTTCACCCTGCACTCATCAGCAGTCTTATGCCACACCGCTGGCATGCCAGGGAGGAGCTCATTAGTTAAATGAGCCTCTGTAAACCAGAGAACTCACTCGACCTTTCAGACAACCGAGCATAAAAGGTCGTTATCTCCTACTGTGACAGTCATATGTTGATAAACCTCCTCAAGACCCAGAGAGCTGCTGGGTCTCCTCAGGACAAGTATTAAAACATCCCTAGTGGTAAAAGTATCATAAAAGTATTATAAAACTATATAAATTCCCACCACTCGCCTGAAGCAGCTCACAGGCTGTGCAACGCGTTTTGTTTCATTCTCATTAGAGTGTTCTCTGTAAGAAAGGCTCTGATCTTCAGCATACTTGGTATGTTTAAGCCCCACAAACAACTCAAGGATAATTCCAAACTGGCTTGCTTTGTTTTGCAAGTTTTTCACAACAAATATATACTGGAATATAACAGTGCATGGAGAATGTAGCAACCAATTCCTGTTTCACCTGGCACTGGCAAGCATGTTGCAAGTACACTCCTGTTCCGGGTAGCCTGGGGGAATTTATGTATTAAAACATTTAGCTGCTACAAGTAACAGTGAGAGATAACATTTAAACCTGGATGGTTCATAGCCATGTCAATACTTTTGCAAGAGTGCAAAGTCTGAACTATTACCTATCTGCAGAACACTGCTGAGCTTCTGTTCATAAGTCAAGCAGCAGAGACAATTCCAGATTAAACAATTTCAAGTATAAAACATCAGTATTTATTTTCTGAAAGTCATATACAAGTCAAACTGCATTTCTAAGTTTTAGTGTTTTGCCTTTTTATAAAAACAGCTTCCCAGAAAAGATACAGCAGTCTTTGAAATGTATTCCCTAGACTTGTTGTTTTAAACACTTAAAAAGAAGCTTTGTACCTCAAAAAAAGTACAAATGGAAACAGCACCCAGGCTCTTATAAAGGTTTTGGGCATCTTTTTCAAATTTAAATTTGAACTACAAGCAGCTTAGAGAAAAGAGGATTATTTCCCCCGTAACATCAGATATGTTTATTAAAGAAAATTAAATATTTGGCCCTACTACAAAGAAAAGGTCAAAGAATTCCTGAGATTTACCTAAGTTGTCAATGAGGAAACACTCGATGCTTCATGCCGCCAAGGTAAATCAAAATGAAATAGGTAGCAGGCCTGTAAATGATCAAAGGTCCTACTGAATTACACTGGCAGTTCATGAAGCAAAAATGGAGAAAAAAAAAAATTAAAAACCAGAATTCTTTTAAAACATGATTCAAGCTTATTCTACCCATTTCTCTCCCTCCCTCAATTTTACTTCTGCCTTTTGTGAATATATCTCTTTATGTAAGTTTGATATTAAAACCCAGAATGGAAAGAGAACATAAATTTTTCAGAAAGAAGTAACTCAGTAGTTTAGGTTTATATATAATTAATCTTAAAATAGATTGTCTTTAAAATCAGAATTATATGGGTAGCACCATATATTAATTTAGGATCAAATGGGAATATTTCAGTCAGACCACAGTGGTAATAAAAGATGTAAAGTCTTTGAGACAGAAGTCTGCACACTAGATTCAATAATTATCATAATATAACATTACTTTTTTAAAATTACAAGTTTTACATGAGAATAAGACTAAAAATGATGAAAGTAGTAACAAATGGGGCACTTTAAAACTACCATCTTTATTCTGAATAATTTGAGGCTGATCACAGTTATTTTAGCACCATGAAAAACATTAGACATTCATTTCTTACTCAACAAAGCAGAACTTGAAAGAATGTAGTTTAGGCTAGCAAAACATATATCCTTTAATATCAAAAACAACATACAAAATATGATGTCTATAAAGATACTTAAACGTGTCAGTGTTATCAATATTAGCAAACATTTTGGTATAAAATCACTCTAATCTTAGCATATGCAGTTCCAAAACATTACAATTGTTGACACAATATATATAGACTAAGAGGCATACTGAACATATGCCAAAGTTTACGTGGCTAGAAACTCAGTGGCTGGCTGGAACTGTAATGGTGCTGTGCTTGTCAACAGTGAGACACACAGTGAAAATAATTACTCTTTCCTCAGCCATCTCTCACATTCCAGTGTTACACCTCCTCTAGTTAAATGCAGAATGTTTGTGTATGCCCCTGGTCAAAATACACTGTATTTATATATACATACACACACACTCTTAATAGCAGGGGTTAATTTCTGACAAAAGGTTTCAGATGCCAGCTTTTGTAACACTTCCAGCTCTCTGAAGGGGAATCCAGGCCCCAGACAAGGCATCACCTCTGCTCCCTGCTCAGAGGGCACAACTGGACCACACTGTGTGAGCTCCAGAGGCAGGGAGCTGCCCCATGCCAGCACAGGGAGAGCCCGGCTGTTTAAGCTAAACTATACAAATGATACTAAGGAGAGTAGCACTGATTCCCATCCTTACATACTCCGTTGGGGGCTGCAAGGAAGCATCTCCCGTCCCTTTGGCATGTACTACCTGATGTAAAGGACTGACCAGGGCATTTTTTCTTTACAATGGCAGTGTCCTATTTTTTTTTTTTTACACCACAAGCCTGTGATCAAAGCATTCACCTGGGATATGCAAGAGCTGCCTTCAGCGCTCCTGGGAGGTGATCCAATTTCACCCATCTCACTCCGCCAAAACTTGGCTGGTCTGCCAGGCTATGGCTACTCAAAGATTTAATGCAGGGAAGGCTGAAAAGTACTATCCATATCCAATATGGTGTGCATCAGTTTGGCAATCCAGTGTCTCTGAAGGGAAGGGGGGAATGTATATGCCCAGACATTGGACACGAAGAACCAAAGGAGAATAATGTCAGTTGTCTACCTCTGATACCAAATATACCCTGAGGAACGGCCACAGAATGCCTATAGCATCTCTGAGGTGAGGGGGCAATTTTCAGGAGCAATAAATGGTCACTGAAAATAAGTTTAGAAAAAATAATTAAAATGTTAATGCTGAACAGAAGAAGATCTGGATGAAAGAAATTCTGTGTTACAATTTGAAGTCTTGGTTTGAGACTTCTTTGGGTCTTCTATGGTAGCCAAAGCAAATCCAACAATACTTTATTAATTAATCATTGAATATTGTTGTGTAGCATAGATGTAAATAGTAACATGAAGGGTTTTCATTGTTTGACTCTTTGCTAAACAGCTATATTAAGATTTACAAGGATCTCATATGCACTGAAAAGATGTCAGCCAGACATGAAGCCAATCAAACCCTGCTCAAAATTAGTCCTGGTTTCAAGGTCTGGTGTATTAATTATAGCATTAAGTAGGATGGGAAATTTCACACCCCCATTTTAAGTGAACCTCTCTTGACCCAATTTCTCCTGAAGCTTACCCTGAGAACATTCAGTGGAAAAAAGATGATTACTTTGTTTACAGGATGAGAGAGCAATATCTATGGAAAGTACTCTTACAAACTGTTCTCAAGAGAGGGATACATCAGAATAATTTAATAGTCTTCTTGAATTAAGCTACTATTTTAATTTTAGAATCTACCCACCAACAAGATTAAATCTGGAATGAACTGGGTCATCAAAATGTAAGTTCATCAGGCTTCCCATGAACAGGTTTTCACACCTGAAAATAAATTGCTACAAAAATTTCTTTACATTTATTCAGTTAGAATAAAATTGAATATTCAAGTCCTTTTCTCTCCTACTTTTCAGATGTGCAACCATTTCAACAATGTTTTATCATTTTCATTAATGTAATAAGTAGCTATTTGTTTTGAGGTTTTGTGCTTTGGTTTGGGTTGGGATTTGTTTGGGTTTTTTAAAGGGAGACAGCTAACCTCATTTTTAAAACCTCAGGGCATACAGAATTCAGTAAGTTTTTTGTGTTTGTTTTTTTTTTTTTCATTTTTAACTATGTCTTATCTAGTTTTAGGACACAAACTCCCTATGCTTTTGTCAAAAAAAAAAAAAAAAAAAAAGAGCATTTTCTATCGGACAATATGGATACAAGCTCACAGAAAAGATGCTAACAGAATTCTTCTGCATTAATTTACTTTATCTTCTCTGAGAAACCTTTCCAATTTTAGAGTTTTGGCAAAACAAGCACTGGTATCAGAATATGTTCATTATTCCAACATCACCACACCAGCATAGCTTCCTCATCCTTAACTCTGCTTCCCTCTCATCTAATATCCCACTCACTAGCTGGATTTGACATAATAATCACTCCTAAACAGTTATTCACTCATTGTACCTCCTCCTGGAGTCATTTGTTTGTTGGTAGCTTTTGGTTTGCCTTTTTTTTTTTTTTTTTAAATAAATGCTGTCCTTCATATTTGTGAGCAATATAATGTTTTTCGTTACTCAAATATGACAGTTTGGATTTTTATTTTCAAAGGACACGCCAATAATTAATCCATATTATTGTTATACCATTTCTGTGTCATTTCTAAAACAACAACAATTACTTTATATACTCTGCTAGATAATTTATAGAGATACAGAGCAGCAATTCGGGACAATGTCACAATTACATCAAGATATCTGGTCACAATCATTTCAAATTGCACCAGTGATAAAGAGCAGCCTTGTTTTTGGTTTAAAACTCAACACTAAAACACATGAAATGCAAGATCTGTGATGAACATTAATTTTTCATAACAAAGCAATAGGAAACAAGAGGCTTTTACCACACTTACTCAACACCACCTTTTGCCTTGGCCAGCTGGAAAATAATACTGAATAACATGTTCTACAGAAATACTCCAGACAAGAGCAACATCAACTGCTAACATCACTTTTGTAATGAAGGCAGCATTTCATAGTAATTTTAATTAACAATACTATGCATCTCTTAATGAAAATTTTAGAAGTACTTATGATGTGCCAAAGCACAAGTCCCAGTGAACCTGAAGGGACCTCTGTTTTCCAAATTGGTTTAGGGTTTTTTTTTCCCCCCACCTTCAAGTCCCTCCCTATACCTCTATTATTAAAAGATTCAGTTATTCAGAGCTCACTCATATAAAGTAGGGATTGAAAGTCTGCAATAGAAAAAGGGTCTGAGGTTTGGTCTACAATAGTTAGCATGCCCTGTATAGTACATTTAGAGAACTTCTTTCAGTTGCTAGATGTAAACATTCAATGCAATAGTATTGCTGTTTTGTATCACAAACGTAGGTGGGTTTTCTGAGCAATTTACTACAACACTGGAGAAAGAAAAATAATGAAACCAGAAAAGACAATAAAGGCTATAGTTTAAAAAGAACAGTATGCCTCCATGGTTTGTGTAAAGAACAAGTACTGTTACTAATTAAGAAAATGCACTTAAATACACACTTTGTCCAGATCACATTTAGTTTACTCTTCACTATGACAGTTCTAAACAAGAAAAGAAAAATTATTGGTCTCAAATGGACCTGAAAAAAAGAATTATTCTATTTCAGTGATTGCTGATCCACATCCACAAATGAGCACTGTGCTTAGAAGTATTTTATGATAAACTGAAAAGCAGTGTTTTCATCTCAAAGTAGTATGCTTTTAAATACTTTTCAGAAAAAGAGGTTTTCAAAATACCTGCTTGACAAACAGTGTATAATACTTAAGAATACATAAGCAATGGAGCCATATGTTTAGGATGTTAAGCAAGAAATAGGGCATACAAGGACATTTCTTTATACTTGAATAAAATATGGAGCTATATCCTACAGGTAATTGAACACAGCTATATAGACCTGTAATCAACCTGCATGTTCACTTAGTGCAAAAATCCTTAATTGATGAACTTCGTTTTAATAGCTCATGTATATTTCCACGTTAAAAACAACTTGGTATTGCACTTAGAATGTATCTTTTAAAGCTGTCTGGTTTTAAAGAATTAAAAAAAAAAAAAACAAACTAACAAGTATAACAGAATAATTTGAAATTTAGTCTAATTCACAATACTGCTCCAAAGAATTAATCAATACAGTTTCAAAACTATCCGCTACTCCGAGGTTTGGCTGAAAAAAAAATTACACACATGCATCTTAATAGTATTGCCTTCACTAAATAAAAAAAGTCTATCATTCAGCAGCTTTACTTCTGAACGTGTTCGCACTCAGAGCTTGGTTTGCACATATTCAAAACCTGAGCCCAAGAATTTAATCCTGAGCATTCTTTGTTTGGGCTACCATGAAAGGTGAATGCAAACACACGTGAGTGTTTTGGCAAACTAAACAGGCTGGGGTATTTAGAGAAAATAAAACAGATGTTTAATAATTTAGTTTTCTAATGAAAAATCATTTCATCAAGAGTTTAGGGAATCAAAAATATGCATATTCATGTTCATGATATAGAATTATAAAAGACTGTAAACAGCATGAGAAACTTCAAAAAACAAATCAGTCATAAGATACATTATCCAGTATAAACACCCATGGGTGTGCCTGCATTGGATAGGCCATAAATGTGATTGAAGAATCCTGGATCAGTGAACCAAAAACAGCTTTCACATTTCCAGAAATCGGTTCTGATGGATTAGAAAAATATTCTCTTCACACACAGAATCACTACACACATACACACTAAAGCTACAAAACTTCAAATACCTTGAAATGTGGCTTGAGATCAAATTCAACGACTCATCAAAAAAGTTCAATGGTATAAAAGATTCTTAAAACAGTTCTGCAATTTGAGCAATAGTTCAAGACTTCTTCAGTGTAGTATAATATCTTCAGCCAAAAAGTAGAAATCAAACTTCAGTAGAGGTCAGGATGGTAGAGGGAAAAGAAAGCATCAAATGCCAGATTCCAGTTCTCTGACTGGCTTTTCTGTTGTGTTTGACACCAAAGTGCTTTCGTTTTCCAGCATTTTCTCAGTAGTTTCTCCATCAACAGGTTTTGCTCTTTCTTTTAACTTCTGCCGTTCATGGACCCAGGGGATGCAACATAAAATGGCTCCGCCAATAAGTGGAGGGACTCCAGCCAGGTAAAATGCTACATCATAGGTGCCCAGCTTATCTCGCAGCAAGCCTGGAAAGACAGGAAATAACCACTCATAAATAATGGGGCCTCAGGAATCTATTAAAAAAACGGGTCTTGGTTTCAGATGCAGAAACCTGAGACCTGACACAGCTGACAACCTGGTGGCCAAATATAAATATACATATCAGTAGAAAGGTATTCCAGAGTTGATTTTAAAGTAGTAATGAAGAGCTCAGTATATCACACCTCAACTGCTTAACTACCACCCATCCAAAACATGTATCATCTTTCCTATTTGAAAGTTGCTCATTTGAGCTTCTCCAGCACATATCTTACCATGACTTGGAGAAATTCTCCCTCTTTTAGTTCCAGTTGCCTCTGTTAAATGCACCCCTTCCTCTTATTCTCGATATATTGCATATATTGCATTCCTAGTAGCCTCTTATTAAAAAGTGTGTTTACCAATAATTCACTCTAATTGCTCTCTCCAAATTCCTCCCATTAGTCAAATTCTATTTAAGTATTAATAGCTATGACAGTATATCCAGATCAGGAAGTAACTAGTCTATGGTGTTCCAGCTTTAAAAATCTATGTAACTCCATATGTCCTTTGTAATGCTGTATAGTTCAGTTACAACTTACTAAGTACCTTTCAGTAGCACTCACCAGATCTCAGAGTAAATTAGCACTGAAAATCATCAGTGGTAAGGAACACAGCTTTAGCTATTTATACCTCCCAAAGAACTTCCACTATTCAGCTTCAAAACATTTACTTTGTCAAACAGTCTCCCATCAAAGAATGAATAAAGCTAATTTTGGAATCCAGTTAATTTGCAGATTGTAATCTGGAGTCCTACTCTAACACAAGCAACCTATAGGCTGTCACTTCAATAGCATCGAAGATGTCAGGTCCTAAATCCAACTGGAAACTTACCTTTCTTTTGGGGAATGTTTTACATCTGCATAACTTAATGAAAATGATCAAGCAAACTTTGAAGAGCGTGGTAAACTAATAATCCACACCCAGTTGTCAAATTCACCACATCTTCTCAAGCACATACCAAGAAAACTTACAATGTCAGTGCACTGCACACAATGTAGGAATGGAAAACATGGCCAAAAAGTCACGCAGACGTAGAAACGCATTTACAGCTACAGAGCACATCTATACTCACCTGCAATGGGTGGGCCAACTGTCATAGGGACTGACATGAGTCCCAGTAGAAACCCTATGGCCTGGGAGACATCCTGAGCCCCAACAAGCTCAAAGGCAATAGGAGCCATAATGCAAATGAAGCACCCATCAAATAGGCCCATGAAGAGACACACAGCTATGAGAGCTCCGAAGACATGGCACAGTGGAATCATCATAGACATCAAGCCAATGAAGAAGAATGAGGCCACCTAAACATGACCAAGGAAAAGATTTAAAAACACATTGCATCAAATTATTAGGGAACAGACAAACTTCCTCGCATTTGTAATTAATTAAATTGTCTGCCTGTATTTGCTTTAAAATAAATACAACCAGTCTCCGTGGATTACCACCATCAAAGGTTACATACCAAGATAAAACAAAGACATAACTCATGACAGGCAAAGAAATTGCACTACCCATTTCGCAAGCTTTGAAAATGCCTTTGTAATCAACTCTCCTGCAGTGACTCTATAAGGTCATTTCTCATGCACCAATGTTCTTGAGAAGTTGTTCCCAGCTCTTTCCACAAATGAAAGTCACAGAAATATCAAAAGTTTAATATAGCTGAAACACTGTAATTGGACTCCTCGCTATTGTAACTTAAGTAAAAATATCAATATTATGAATAATTACTTCAGGGTGCTTATATTCAACAAGTGAAACCATTACAATTTTTCCACAAAAAGAAAGTGTACTGCTGTGGTAATGCAGACTTTCAAAAGGTTTTCTAATATAATCTTAGACTATTTATTTGTCTTAGACTAAAGGAATAAAACTGTCCTTCAGCAAAATGAAGCAGAATTAAAAAGAAAATCAAAAAGATAACAGTTTTGCCTGTGGACCATCCATATGTCAGCATAGGAAGCCAATGTCCCAAACACATCGGGGAATTTAAGTTTATCTATGACAACAAATACTCCGGGAAAGTAATTCTTTCCTAAGAGTTTTTGTTTTCCATAATGCAGTGCAGACAATATCCACTAGATGTCTCCCCTGCTATTCGTTTTAAAAGAGCAAATGGAGAACACCTCGTCGTTGCCAATATGCAAGTGGACTAAAGCTTTTCCAAAATCCTACACTAACTCTACTGCTGCCTTAAAAAAAATATCGTTTATAAGTGTGGAGGGAAAGAAGTGTATATCCTCCTTCATCCCCAAACTTCAGCATTTCTGGAAGCTGTGACTCCTTCTGCAAAATCTCCTCAACTAAGCATCTCTTATGTTACCATGGCCATATCACTGCATGCTGTACTCAGAACATGCTTAACACCACATCAGCACCTGTCAAAGATCAAGAAAAGAGATCCAAAAATCCTTCATAGAGGAACATATGGGAAAAAATTAACCTTTCTGCAACCATTATGAAATCATGGGATAAAACAGAGAAAGCAGAATCTAGAGAACCCCCAGAGGTTCTCACTCACATGTTAATGATTAGTAATTTCTTCCATTCCTGGCTGAAAACAGCAAGCAGGAAATAGACATTTTCTTAGCATTAAAAATAAATATCAGATTCATAAACTTTATGCCAAAGGCTCCTGGCAATAAACACCATACATTGAGTTTCCCAGAGTTTTGAAGCTTCGCAAATTTGAATTTCCAATCAGTTAGTTTTGCTCACTTATTAGTAGTACCTGAAACCAAAGCCTTGAGAATAAGCAGTTCTGAAGGAATTTAGAAATAATAAAAACATACCTGTAAATAAATTTTTTTTGCACCAGGAATATAATCTGCAACTCTGCCAAAGATCAACCTGCCAACTCCTGAAGTAATGCCCAGACACAGTAGAAGCACTTCTTCTGGCACACTGTCACCAAATCTGTCTTTTACATGATTCATCTGTTTAAAAAGAAGGTTGAGAAAATAAATTTGCTTTAGAATTAAAATACAGACCTTGGAAAACTTGAATTAAAGAGAAGTTAATCTGTAAATCTCAGACTTACACATTCAGCTACAAATGGTCACCTACATTACTCTGCTTTTACAGATTTTTAGAATAACTTTTACAGTGGCTAAGCAGCATTTACTGCAATAGAAGAAAAACAGCCTGAAATGTTTTGTTGCTTTATCCACAATTAAGGAATTTAATTCAGGAGAACAAGAAGGTTCTGTCTAATACAAGAAAAAAAAAAGAAAAAAAAAAAAGAAAAAGAGACTTCCAACAGTTCTCCCCAACCACTCTTAATTTACTAGTCATACATATAAAGCAACATAGAATCCACAAGGGCTGACTGAAACTGGCTGCTTTCCTGGCCAGGGCACACTCTGAGGTGTGAAGATACTGAGTGATTTATTGGAATCACTGCAACACTGCTGTGTGCAGTAAGACAGAGACACAGGCTACCAAACTTGCAACACAGCTCAGGGCAGGAGCAAGAAGCAGAGAGCTGGAGACCAGACAACCCAAGTAAGAAACCAGACGATGCAAGTAGAAGAGGCTCTCTAGAATGCCTCATCCTGACATCCACAATCACCACTATGACATTCAGGGACAAGGAGGAAGAAGAGCAGGAACCACTTGCAATGCCAAATACAACAGCAAGCACTTCCTTGAGAGGCTACAGCTACAGCAGCGATGAACAGGGCAGCCTGGAAGAACGATTTATTTACCAGCCACTTCAACCAAAAGAACTAAGGCAACTGATCAGTGGTCCTGACACCAGTATTACAACTTTAAAGTCATGTTAAAAAAAAAAAAAAATTACCAGCCTGGCTTGACAGATTTAGATGTTTTTTATATTCCCTCTGGTTCCACAGTGGGCTATGTTTGTTTATGTGTTTGTGGTTTCTGAATCAACCCCAAAGACCAGAAATTACCCATAGGGAAGACTTTTTTGCACTATTACTTTTTGAAACACACTTGCCAAAAACAAATATGCCAAGGGGGGGGGG